GCCCAGGCTACTTTAACCCCAGGGCAATAGGAGGCTATGTGGGCCCCAGAACGGGTCTGGACACTATGGATAAGAGTTAAATTCTTGGCCCAAACAACTTCAATATGATAAACCGAGTGGGTTAGTGTAGCAGTTAACTGTGCAGACGTCCATTTGGGAGGTGGTCGCTTCGAATCTGAGTTGGGACACCGGATATTCTGACTGGGGTTTTTCGTGGTTTATATCAGCCTCTCCAGGCAATCGGCGGGACAGCGTCTCAGCTACGCTACAGACGCCTCCTCCCACACTGTTTCCAGTTCATCATAAATCACCATATCATCGGACGCTACATATTGTGATACAGAGAGCGCTGTACAGTAACTACACAATAAATGTGATAAAACAACACTATTTGCCACATTATCTTATTACTGTTATTAGAACGCGTTTCCGTGTTGCACTCCAATAAATAGAGCGCCGAAGTCGCATTAATCAAATTAATTTAATTTTCTCTACCAATTACAGCTAACTGAAGTGTGTAACACATAGGGGGGGGGGGAAGTGGGAAGGTAAAGGAACTCACTGGGGAGAAAGGCTAATTTTCGAAGGTTTAAGTGGAATGTCAGGCTAAGTCATATCATGTGACAAGCATGTCAACCTCCTCCCCTATACCTCCACCCCTCACAATCACTACTGTCGCGTGTTGCGTCCAACAAACCTGACCCACAAAAGTGCTGCCATCTGTGCGAATAAACTGAAACTCTCCTTGGGCTGCTACTCTCATTAAGTGATTCCGAACCCTCGCCCCTCCACCCCTGTCACCCCCCAAAAAAGGGGTCTCATCCCTCACTAAAACCGATGACACGAGAATAGAGAAAAATTAATGAAATGTACGAGTAGTATTGTCCCCCTACCGCCAGAGGGACAGTAAGTCAATTGACTGTGATGGCGGTTCGATCAGATTCCACCAATCGGCCTTAGGAATTATGACAAAGAAGAGAACAATTGCATTGGGTCCTGGGGACGTGTGGCAAATATAATAAGTGATAATACAATCACATACGTTGAAAATTACAAAAAAAGAGACGTGCAAGAAAGACGGAACAGTAGGAATGCATATATCCAACGCCGTCATTACAAAAACAGCCATGTTGTAACAGAACACAGTCGATGGTCAGGTAAGCTAATGCCATCTTGTGGGACTAACCTATACCTACGAGATGACAAGTCGAATTATAACGCAGTTACTTAATGAGGCAATGAATTTCAACACTCTCTATGGGCTGCACGACGGAGGAGTCGGAGTTCGAGATCCGGTAGGGTCAAAATATTTTCTCCACGTCGTCCATAGCGGTTCTGCAGCCCACTCAGCCTACAACCAGTGGGTATCGCGGGCTTTTCCCCCGGCAGTAAACCGGCCAGGGCGTGAAGCTGACCATTCACCTTCAAACTAGAGTCGTGGTTACATTTTTGATGCATCGTGTCCGTTGGTCCGCGTGTTGTAGAAAGAATGTGACGAAATTTCGACCTAGAGGAAGGGCCAAGACTATAAGTCTCTTCGGCAAATCTGATTTTGATCCATATCTGTGCAACATAACTTCTGCTTTACGTACAACCGAGATCGAACTACGCAGACTTATCCAAGCGGGGCAATGTTTGCCGACTTGTCGATGTCGTTTCCATGGAAACCACAGGATCAGACCATGGCACTGAATGACACTGTCTCAGTCGGTACTGCAGCGCCGACCGTTGCCGAAACATGCACCTATTTATTATTATTATTATTATTAATTCATTCATCTGCACTTTGCTGTGTCTGTAATTGGCCTTGCGGCTGTTGACTCGGCACATTAATAATAAAGAATTGAATTGAACTTCGTTAACTACTGTAAATTTCTAATTTTTGCCGATGATCTAAAAATTCTCCGCATTATTAACTCTCCACATGATTGCCTCTTACTTTAATCTGACATTAATTCCGTATGTGACTGGTGCACTGCTAACTCCATGAAACTTAATATTGCTAAAACGCGTGTTGTATCATACACCAAAAAAAACAAATTTTATGAGCTACGAGTATCAGCTTTGTCATGCTATCATTACACGCACCAGCAGGATTAAGGACCTTGGTGTTTTCTTCGATTCAAAGTTACATTCTCACACACGTTAATTACATATTTTCTGAATGCATAAAGCTTTTAGGCCTTCTTCATTCCATTACATACAGGTTTTCCTCCGTGGAGTCTGTATGTACTATATTTTACTTTAGTCAGGTCCAAGATGGAATATGCCTCAGTAGTTCGGAACTCCATCATCTCGACTGATGCCAATAAGCTTGAGCGCATCCAGCAGTTTGCCCGTCTGTTTTTATCGTTTTTCCCTCATATTTCATATAATTATGCTTATGCTTGAGAGAAATTAAGTCTGCAATCTTTACATACACGGAGACATCACCTTGATGCACTTTTTCTTGTTCAGGTCTTTCGTGGTCTTAAATCCTGAGCTTCTCTTTTGGAAAATGTTAGCCTTCGTGTTCCTCCCAGCAATCTTAGGGACTTCTCATTGATTGGCGTTTGTCCCTCTAATAAACACTGTCCTTCTGCTCGGTGCGCTTATGCTGCCAACGCGGTGGGTAAAGATCTCGACATATTTGCAATCGGAACAGTTTGTCTCAATGACACTGAACCTATAATTGTTAATAATATTTGTTAATGATACTCTTTAATATTACTTGTGTGTATGTGGTCTTATTTTATTGTTCTCTCCTGTTAACTTTAACTTTAATTTTTCTTGGCATTATTATTAATCTAGTCATTATGTAGACTCTTAAATTTTGTATTTGTTTTTTAATTATTTTTATGTAATTCTGTGTACTCATGCTAACCTTTTAATTGGCCTCTGTGCTGTTAAGTTGTACGTAAACATGAATTGAATTGAATTGAATTAGGATGTTGAGCTGCCACACGAATAAGAATTAATTGGGTTATTATTATTATTATTATTATTAACTTCTATGTGTGTGTGTGTGTATGTATGTGTATTGTCCCTTCTCACCATATAATGGAATAACCATTCGAAATGTACTTATTTTATTTTCTCACCTGTTAATGCTAACTTTAATTTTTCTTGGAATTATTATTAATTTAATGCCATTATATAGACTGTCGTCTTTGTATTTTGTCTTTTAGTTATATCTGTATTCCTATGTACTCGTGCCAACTTTGTTATTGACCTCTCTGCTGTTAAGTTTGCACGTAAATAATTGAATTATTATTATATCAAGGCGTCTTTCCAGAACTTTTGAAGTTCACAGAGTGTATAATCAAAAAACTTACGATTTCATTGTGTCCTTGAAGGGCTGTAACATGTAAGAGTGGATAGAAGATAGGATTGTAGTGGAAGCTGCAGCTACTTTTGAGAACCCGTTATATTTTCAACGGGAAGTTCACCGGCGAAGCATAAATATCATTAATATGTAGAACATGCATTTAACTATCACGTGTTAGTGACTAGACACGGGGTTTGCATCTGATTTATTGAACACTTACAACTCGTTAACTACAAGTAACTATAACACTACTGCTAATTTTCACATGGTCGTTGCTTGGTAGTGGCTCCGAACAATGTTCTCTTTTCACTCGAGGAGTATTCTACTGGCATCATTAGCCATCACTGACTACTCCTCGGCTGACTGACTGACTGACTGCTAAATTGCTGCCGGTCCTTGCCAGTACAGTGATTCTTGGTTCGAAGTTCCGCGAGACTCATGATAGTATTTTACTGTCTGAAGGCCCTAGGATAAGGGATCAGGTCACTGTATTATATCCCCCAGTGACAGGGTGGCCCAGTTCCCTTTCCGTCGCCATCTACGACTCGCAGGGCTACGGTGGAGGCATTCTAACCCGCCTCAACAAGAGGGAAACCATTGACCTGTCCAACTGCCTTCGTTACATAACCTCATCACGGACCATATCCGGTAGTTCCATTGTTACGCGCGTATCCGTTGTCGCGATACGTATTGAGCTGTTACCTAGCAGCGGACGGATTCTCTTGATATTTCCTCCATCATGTCACAGTTACTTCAGTACGGCGTTCACTGTAATGATATGCAAGAAAACGGCGTTACTTGTGGCTTGATCGACTCTGCAACAACAGGTTTCTGACAGTGCGACCAACAAAGCATAGAAAATGAAACATTACCTGAATTCAGAAAGTACGTCCTGGAGTACGCACGTTCCTTCATATCTGAATACGCTGCTGCATTTGTGGACACATACGAGGTTCCTTTAAGCTTTGTAAATTCCAAATATTTCGTTCTGGAATGTGACATTTCGGAGGAATTTGCTACCTCCATCGTCAAGGAAGATGATCTTCTGAAATGCTGGTAACATTCTACCGAGACTAGAAACGTCATATCCAAGAAGACAACCTTCTTCGTAGTCATTCGCTTAGGGATCCGAAAGGTGAAGGGATGACGAAACACGTGTTCATATAGGGAAATGCTGAGCTTTAGACTAGCAACGGCGGCCGTATGAGTCTCCTGACTTCATGCCGAAGTTTTCATCTGTGCGCTCAACGATCCGAATTTCCAAGTAGAAGCTTCTCCACAGCGTCTAGACCAGCTCTGGGGCCCACCCAGCCTCATACCCAATGGGTACCGGGGGCCCTTTCCCCAGGGGATACAGCAACGAGGAAATGAAGGTGACCCCTCAAATTCATCTAACCTGGAGGTTATGAATACCTAGAGCTACACCTCCAGTCCCCCATACGTCTTCATGAGGTGGTGCTTAATTAAACATAAGGAAAACTTCATATCTGTGCCAACGGCAAGAGACACCCTAAAAGCATACCGATGTTTTTAGTACAGTATACGCAGACGGTAAAAGCGGGTAGTGGTATATTGCCTCGTCTTCTGGTCGCAGTAGGATGGTAGTCAGGAGTGTGGGATGAGGTTAATAAGAACAAAAGTAGTACTTTGAAGAACAATTCATTAGCCGTTTGGTGCGATATCACTCACCCACCTCGGGGCTAGATGAAGCACAGAACTGATCGGCGATCTTCCTCAGTTCCTTGCCCACCTCCTGCCAGTTCTCGCGGGTTCTGTTGTCAGTAGGGACGGCGGATGTCTTTTCATTTGAGGATGTGCTCCTGGAACGTCTTGAGCGTCGAGGCGGAGGGCAAGGACGCACTCTGACGCCACCCGCTGGTGTACATCGTCTGGGAGGTGGGATGGGCACCTCTGACTGGGCTGATCTTGTGGTGGGATTTGACACTACGTCTGGTTGAGGCAGAACCCGCAGCATGGCGTCACGGTTCAGGGCCTGCTGTTGGTTTTGGCTACCAGATGGCTCTGGTTCCCCTGACCCATTGCCACCATCAGCATCGTTCTCTCTTCTCTGCGCCTCCCTGTCTACAGACAAATAAATTACGACTACTGTGGAGTTGTAAGCAGAAACAAAAGATAATAAAGTGACTATGCACGCACATGAAGCATTCGTGGGATTTGAGGTTCGCGCAATAGAGATTCCTGGGATACGATGCCGTGTATTCTGGCATGAGCTTACCGACGTTTCGGAGGAAGTATAGCCACCATCAAAGTGTAAGCAGAACAGCAACCAGATTGGCAACAAGTTTCTCCGAAACGTCGGTAAAATATCACATTACACAGCGTCACACCCCTTAAGTAGTAATCCTCATACGAACCATTGGCCTTTTCATATAACCTGCTTATACGTTTAATTATTACGGCACGGTCCAAGGAAAACCATCATTAGATGATTAGAAATGTTAGCAAATAAAATATAGCATTTCAAAATATATAAAAATGGAATTAGAAAGCAGATATACTTCAGTTTGTTCCTTAACCTTTAACAGACATCCTTAATTTGTGACTATAAAATTACTTATTCCTAAAAAACAAAACAAACTCCGTGGTTTTAGTCCGCAAGCGAACTATACCGACAGAGCGACAGCCGCTTGTCGACGAAGTTAGTGCCGACTTTTGCGGATAGAGGGTGTTAATCTCGGTTTTCTAGACCGGAGCCACCATTTCCTTGAAATAGCTCCTTAGTTATCCTCACGAGGCTGAGTGGATCCAGTTCCAAACCCACTACTTCTCAGAAAATTTGGTAGCACCGGCAATCGAACCCAGACCTCTGGATCTGTAGCCAGGAGCTCTGACCACTATACCATAGAGGCGGTCTCCTAAACCACTGACACAAGACGATAGGTAAGAATATGTTGCTCCAGGGAACAAAGATACCTTTTGAAGGAAGGCCGACGTACCTTATCGTCTTTTGTATGAATTCTCTTACTTAAGATTTACAAGTTCATTTAATAATCCTCGTGGTGTTTTGACCTACCTGAAACGTGGGAACAACCGCCATTATTTCTCCTTCATATGAGAAGTCACTCGAACCAAGTCCGCAATATAATTAAGAGACGAGGTAAAGTTGTCCCTTCGCTTAATTAACCAAGCACCACGCCATGATGATGCATGAGGGAGTGAATGTGTAGCTCCATAATCAAGCTTGACCTTAGTTAGATGGAGGTGAGTGGTCATCTTCACGCTCCGGCCGCTTTACCACCGCGGAAAGATCCTACTGTATCCATCGGGTAGGAGATTTAGTGGGTCTCAGAGCCGGTCTGAACACCATGGTGAAGAGAAAAATCTATCTCCTGGTGGTAATCGAACTCCGATTCCTCGGTAGTCCAGCCCGTAGCCTAGTCACTACGCCAAATATTCTCTCCTAACATTTATAAGAAGACAAGGAATAAAAAAAAAATAATTAATTATTAACTATTGCTTATTCATAAAAATATTTGAAAATATGAACTATATGTTGTGTTGTAAAGTGTGATTATTCAATTTTTATTGTAACAGCATCCATTCTATTTCTCAGAATACAACTCATGAAATCCACCATACCAAAAATATTAAGACATCAAATGTATAGATAATTGTTACATATTACTGAAGCAGAATACACTATAGACAAATTACGGGAAAGCCGAGACTTGGAAGCTTTCCGCTGGAGTATTAACTTTTCGGAATAGAAGACACAAGCAAAACATGTTGTGACGTTACAGCTTCAGCACCCACAAGAAGTAACTGCAGACACATGATAATGTGGTGCGTAAGAACTCTCTTCGTCACTATGTGAGCTCAGCCGGAAGGTAATAACTCCATCTGTTGATAGAGGACACGAACTACGTGTACAAAGAAGTAAACTACTGAACATGAGGTTTATATGTTGTCAGTAAAGTAACATCAAGAATCAAACTTCACTCACAGCAAATAAGCAGCTGCCATCGAAGCTAATCGGATGTCAAAAATAAATATGTTATTCCAAGTTCTTTTTAAAGTTCGAAGTTTTACAAATATTGACCCTCGAGTCTAGATAAACATTACATAGATGGCTTTCCCTCTGGTGACAAGATAGACAAACTAACAGACAGCAGACGGCGTTGTAAACACATGTACGTGATTACTCATTAATGGAGTGTTGACGCAACAATGGCATTACAAAGATCAAAACAATTGACAGTTTTACAGTATGGAAGAATTCGACAGTTAAGGGGTGCCAACTTCTTTCACCCACTCACTCAAGGCGCTGAGCCCTTCTTCAGAAGCCTCCAATTGTGCAGCCACTCTAGAATTTCCCAGCATTTTATGGAACCCGATGGTTCATTACCGTGTCCACAAGAGCCCTCCACTGGTCACTATCCTAAGCCAGATCAATCCAATCCATACCATCCTATGTCTCTAAGATCCATTTTAATATTGTCCATCCTTAGATATAAATGCTATAACTTTTAACTAATGCCAAGATGTTAAGATTTGTTAAAAGATCTAAAAATGATTACAGTTAGTCTATTTACAAAATAATGTTCAATACTTTTATTAATCTAGAACCAATTTGGTTCGTGTCCTTACATTTCTCCTTAATGGAAGATGAATATGTTCCAGAGCATGGCTTCGTTGTCTGATGATCAGAGCTCTTTTGTATCGTGGTCCAGTTATTCAGGCTACGCTGTTTGTTATACCAGGTTGAATCAAGTTATATTTTCTAGTAACTACTCATACGGGTCCGCGCCATAGCTCAAGCGGTTAGTCGGTGGCTTCCAACCGCGGCGGCCCGGGTTCGATCCTGGGTCTAGTCAAGTGGGATTTGTGGTGGACAAAGTGGCGCTGGGGCAGGTTTCTCCGAGTACTTCGGTTTCCCCTGCCAATCTTCATTCCACCAATTACAATCATCTTCACCTATCATCTGGGGCTGGTACAACAGGCCAGAAGTGGCCGCAGTACAAGGGACCTAGTCCCACCCCACTAGCAAAAAAACTACCCATAATCACCCCTTTTGCTTATTAAATTCTGCAGCTTCACGTCTTTAAATATTGTAACAAAAAATGGTATTCACCAAATAAATGTGGTTAGATCTGCGTTTGCCCAGTTGGAATATTATTTCCTTGTATCCGTATGTTGGCAAGCCTGTTCCTAAACGTACACGTGTGAAAGATTACTTCTGTTTACGCTTAAAATATAACACAAGCGTCTTGGCAAATTTCCTAACACAATATATAAGTCATGTTGAAGTCCTCAAGTGCATACAACAAGGTTTATGGATCAATGCCTCCGAACTGACAGAATTCCGTCACACAAGAATGGTTCGCGCGTGGACAAGACAACATCTCACTAACATGATAACATTTGACCTTTATAAGCAAGTTTATTATCGTAGTGTAAGATGGTTTCTTTGTTTGTGGTAAACTTCGCTGATGACAGATAAGTTCGTATCTCTCTATTTTATCTTTCTTACAAACTCGGCCTTCGGTTGACAATAAAACAAAAGAAATCGTGGGAATATAAAATAAAGACACAATAATGTCACATCACAACATCCACAATTACGTCTTTCCATTGAAACGCGTTAATATGACGCAATATCTATCGATATCTTTATCGATAAAGTATTCTGAAAGTAGGGGCACATTATGTTTCTGTCCTAAGATTTGAGAAGCAAATAGTTTCATAATTACCACTTTTAACCTGGTATCTTGTTAATAGATTAAAATTATTTCCACAGAACATTCAGGTCATCTGTTATAGATATCACCTCCGGAATAAAATAGGTTACATAGACCAGAACACGTAACCTAGTTCAAACTTGGACACAAGAAATGCTGTCACAATTTAAGTGGAGAAACCCGTTAAACACAGTCCACTTTGAAGAATAAGTAAGAGATGGGAGGGTAATATTAAGAAAATTTTCTAACGAAATTGATATTTAGAGTGGGAAGTGGACTAAACTGGCTCAGGATAGCTACTTGAATATGTTTCGAATAATTCCACTCCATTATTTGAAGCTGTATTTTAATATTATCCGCATATATCTCTAGATCTCACGTATGTTTTCTTTCTTTCATGTTTTCCAACCATAATTGCGTATGCATTACTCATCTCCCCCCCCCGGCTTTCTGCATTCCCTGCCCGCTACATCCTCCTTGAGTTTACCGTATTATTTATTGTCTGTGTAATGGCCGGGGCCTGGATTTTCATGACCTGAAAATATTTAAAAAATTACCTATAAAATGACCGAAAAAATACAGGAAAATTACATAAAGTATGACCCCAAAATGTAATATGCAGGGCCCGGATTTTGATGACCTGAAAATATTAAAAAAAATGACCTATAAAATAACCGAAAAAATCCAGAAAAATGACCTAAAGGAGAAAAGAAAGAACACTTCGCTTCCATGTTATTCACATTTCAGAAAAAAAATATGAAGAAAATTTCCCTAAAATGGCCAAAAATTACAAGAAATACCCTTAAAAGTCTAAAAATTTACCAAAACATTACCCAAAAAATAAAAAAATGACCTTAAACCTAAAAATGTCAAAAAATTACCTATAAAATTTACATTTCTGTAACCAGCAGCTCATATCCGAGATTTATATATTTAAGAGCATCGCATAGGATACAAGGAAAAAAAGATGACATGTCATCAAAATCCGGGTCCTGGTAATGACGGTGTCAGTAGTTGCCACTGTACAGTATAGGGTGTAACTGCAGGCTGTTTAATGATGAATTTAAAATGATTTGGAGAGGAGTGTTTGCAGATAATTTGAGGTATTTCCCAGGATAAGGTTAAATCAGGAAAGGCCTCAGTATAATCGGTGCCTCTACTGAGCTGTCATTACATTCCGAAAGACCTAGAACCCAGAACCGTTACAACTTCAACGGGCTTGCTAGGTTTGATGATTCGAATGATATTTGATAGAGGAAAATGCAAAGGTGTCCCTGCACTTAATTAATTACGAACCATGCCTTGGAGACGCATGGAGACTGGAGGTATAGCTCCACGCATTCGTTTAAGATAGACGATAGAGGGCACCTTCACACCACGCCC